CACACACACACACACACACACGTCCCGGCTGGGAGTGTTTGATTTGGCTGATACACACAGGCTGCATGTCATTAGCATATTTCTCCATGTATGTTCCTCGTGGAGCTCTTTGTCAGGGAAGAGGAAGCCCTTCCCCTCAGACGATGTTTGCGTCCCCAGAAGATTGTTCTCCTCAGGMTGGATTGTGTCGTGAGCCAGAAAAGGGCTGTGGTCGCTTCGTGCCACGTTACAGCCTGTGGGCTTACACACTACAGTACAAGTGAAACGGACCTGTTTTCATGTGCTGATGCAGAACGTGTCCAGGGSTGGGTCACACATCAGCAGGCTCTGAAAGAGGGCCGGACGTTTGATGTGCACTTAAACAAAGCAGGTAGAAGTGGAACAAYGTTGGCCCTGCTTGGCTCAGTCCTAACTGAAGTGTTCCTCATATAAACGGGTCAGAACCTTTAATGATTTAATTTGGTTTGACATCAAAGCTTTAATCTTATTCAYTGACATTGACAAAAAAAAGTCAAAAATAAAACCATAATTACATCATCGTTCCTCCTAAATGTGACTGCATACAGAATATTAACGTTATATTTACTTAAACAGGGAGTTTCTTTATTATAAGAAAAGTGAACAAATTGTTACCAAAATGACTCTGAAATGTAAAACAACACTAGAGAACAACAAAAGAGTGAGACAAAACAACAGAACAGAATGGGAAACACTAAATTTTTTTTTACTTCATTTGTTTATTTATTTAATAAAAACAAAATCTGTGTACAATAATGAAAATAAATGGGTGCAGAGTAAAAAAAACTTATATCTGCTCCTTAGTAAATAAACAAATAAATAAATAAATAAATAAATAAATAAATAAATAAATAAATAAAACACTCACAAACAAATATACTCAAAATCAGTGCTGGCTCTAGCCATTTTGGTGCCCTAGGCGAGCTGAAGTGCAGCCCCCCCCAAACTATGTCTCACCCACCCCAGTTTGAACCCCTAAAAGCAAGTTTGACAGTGTAAGGCACTATGGTAAACTTAGGTTTATTTGCCAATAGGTTTATTTGGATTTTTTGCAAAATTTACAGATTTTTTAGGCTTTTTGCACAGGTAAACATCCGAAGAGGTTGACATGTATGGGACAACAAAATACAGACTAGTTGTTATTGAGTTTTTCAACACGAACCGCTACCTGAGAGGCAATTTCCAGTTAGCTTCTTAGCTTAGCCTCCTTCACAGTGAAGCTGGCGTACATATATGTCGCGGCCACCCGATCCAATCATTTTAAACTTCAGCAGAGGCCACGCCTCCAGCAACAAGCAGGGAGTCCAGACCCTCGTACGAAGCAAAGCGAAGGACAAGGGTTTGGTTTTAACCAGGCTAGGCTACAACAGGAGATTCAAGGATTTCTCAAACATGCATGAGTCAAAGCAACACTGTATGTTTTTAATGAGGGAATGACATAATTTGATATAAAGCTCAAGAGTTGATTGCATGTTTACACTGATGATGAATGATGTCTTTGCTCATKTTTCTTTCAGATTTACCGGATCATCCAGCGCCGCTGAAGCCGCTGATAGCTAAAGTCTCATCCAGGACGGTGTCTTACATTTCAACCGGCCAACAACGGCCAGCCGTCATCCAGCCTCCTCCGACCCTCCCCAAACCCCCGCTGTACATCCAGCCGTCGTCATACTCACAGCCCCCGCAGACGCACCCCAAATCCTTCACCCATTCATCTCAGACCCAGTCCAGACCTCAGGGGTTCACCCAGAATCTGCCTAAGCCTTTCCTCCACACAGCCCCCCAGCCTCAGCCCAAGCCCCAGGTGCCTCCTCAGACGCCCCCCAAACCTCAGTCCTTCCCTCAGGCTCTCAACAAGCCTCAGTCCTCACACCTGGACCAATTCGAGGACCTCAGCAGGAACAGTGCCCACTCTGGAGACCTGCTGTCCCCCACGGATTCTGGAGAACAACTGTCTGACGGCATGTCCACCAAACAGATGTCCATCAAGGAGAGGTGAGATACAGGGAAGAAAGTGGCAATTTCCTGRATCCAGACTCAATCTTGATCCTTAAAAATCACTCTAACACAGATTTTTACAGGTCAAAGCTAAAATCAAAGAATCATAATTTTTCTGCATGACAGAATCGGACACAACTTCCTGCCTCGCCTTTCTTCTTCAGTCAGGTTGTGTTCAACTCCATTAAAGTGCCTTCAAATACAAAAAGTCAAACACCTTGATATTTAAGAAACTTAGAGTAACACACGTGATTTTACCTGTTTTGCCACATAACTGGCATATTTTCTTTTGAACTTGGCTCAGCCAAAGTAAAACAGGAAGTGACATCAAAGGGGAACTCTTTAATAAAGAGAAATTTTAGTTTATTGAAACACTATTATTTGAACTCTGACYCTTCATCTCTCTGATAGTGACTCAAAATAATCTAAAGAAACATCAGATTCTTCTCYACAGTCTGGGTTGTTAGTTATTGTAGCAACCCTCTGTTTACATGCAGACATTCCCCTTTGACATCACTTCCTGTTTTTTCAAACGCAAATATCTCAAGAGCTCAGCAGCGTGGATTTTTTGGCAATCTTTGATCAATGTTATCTTTTCAAAAATGCGTTTGTATTTATTACAAATCAGTCGGATAGTCGAACCTCGGATTCAGGAAGAGCAGTGCGGTTTTCATCCTGGGCCAGCTCTACACCCTCAGCAGGGTCCTGGAGGGTGCATGGGAGTTCGCCCAAGCGGT